TAATGTAATGTAATGTAATGTAATGTAATGTAATGTAATGTAATGTAATGTAATGTAATGTAATGTAATGTAATGTAATGTAATGTAATGTAATGTAATGTAATGTAATGTAATGTAATGTAATGTAATGTAATGTAATGTAATGTAATGTAATGTAATATAATATAATATAATAAATTGTCACGAATCCGGTCCGTGGTTTTCCGTCTGCTCGCCACCAGAGGTTGCCTTCTCATTACATTGACTCTCACACCACACAAACTGTTGCATGTCACCCTGGACTACATTTCCCATACTCCATTGCACTGATTGGACTCACCTGCAGCCAATCACACACACACACTATATAACAACCACTCAAATCCTTCTTTAATTGCCGAGTATTGACTGCGTTTATCACTTTCCTAGTGGTAGCACTTTACGGAGCCAGTATCCTGTCTGAGTTTAGGCTAGTTCCTAGTTCTAGTCCTGTATCGTAATGTCTAGTTTTGCCTGATTGTCTGTTCCTGATAACCTGCCTGTCTTGGATTTCTTTCTCGTCTTGTTGTTTGGATTTTGTTCGTACCTCGCCTGGATTACTATCTGTTTTTGGATTACTCACCTGCCTCATCCTTTGGATTATGTTCGCCGTTGATCGACCTACGCCTGTTAATTGGATCACTCTTCTGTCTTGTCCTCTAAATACCTGTTTGTCATTGTCCGACCCTTGTCTGTTTTGAATATGTATTTGGAATAAAGCTTTGCAGATGGATCCGCACGTCTCTCGTCTCAGTCGCCCCGTTACAATAATATAATATAATATAATAATCAAGGGGACAATGAAAAACTTACATTCATAAGGTTTACAATTACAATTCTCTAATGCCTAAAGGATAAAAGTGTCAAAACATAAGGAAATAACCAGAGTAAATATTTGCTTAACATGAAATTATATATACAGTGGGGAAAAAAAGTATTTAGTCAGCCACCAATTGTGCAAGTTCTCCCACTTAAAAAGATGAGAGAGGCCTGTAATTTTCATCATAGCTAAATACTTTTTTGCCCCACTGTATATATATTACAAATATAATATAAAATAATCTTGTCATTAAATACCCTTTCAGTAAATTTTGCTATTAATTTATTAATTACATTTTCATCATTTGATGTATATATTATATTATATTATATTATATTATATTATATTATATACTTGAATCAAAATGCCAGAATGTTGCTTGAGAACCAAACCTCAGGCCTAAGCTGAGGTCTGACCCGAAACCCTAAAAAAATAAAAGATTTGTCGACAGGAATGTTGTTCCAGAACCAACAAGAAAGTTGATCCAGGAACATGTTGTGCTTGGTGAAATCTAAGCCAGTGTTTTCTGACACCTGACCTAGTCCCGGTATAACTGGGATTTGAACTGTGAATCATAGTGATTGAACAAAGAATGTCATATTTCTACAGTTCCAGCAAACCAAATACCTCCTCCATCTGTGACGCTAGCTTATTTGGACTATTTACACAGTTAAAAGCACGGTTTCATTAAGACCAAATTGGCCCAAACTGAAAACCAGATAAAGCACTATGCAGAGTACCTGTTACACTCAGATGATTCATTCACAACAAACACAACACATGCAAACATGGCTCTGTATACATGTGGAAGTAAAACAGCAAGACTGTTTTTTTTTCATGATGCAACTCTTTCTGTCCTTTTGCAACAGACTCTAATGTTCATCCAAGCAGAATTATTACCATATGAGTTTCATCACCAAGACAATGATGACATAACAGAGGCCAGCTCGCCATATCAGTCCTTAATAAGTGAGTCTCATTACTTTGATGTTATAGCTAATGCTGTAGCACTCTTTCTAAATCAAGGACAGAGGATCTGGAAGCACTTAATAGTGATAGAGGAATGTCAGATGAAATGCATACAGCTGTATAAGGGTTCATGATTCAGCCCATGCATTCTTGATAAACCTGTTAGTTCAACGGAGTTATGCAATTAACCCAATTGCAAAATTAATCAGTTATATATTTTATATATAAAATAGAGATTCAGATAAACTATTTAAAATGATAATATATAACACAAACACCTGAACAAACACCTCATTTCAACAGCACATTTCCGTTGATGCTTCTATAACTCATTTTGACCCTATTAACTCTTTGTCGATTTCGTACCTTTGGCAAGCGTTCAGGGTCTCCTGGATGCCGAGGTATCACCTTCTGTAACCGCTGAAAACCGTAGTCTATGGTGGGTTCATTCAGAGCTGTGGACACAAACAAAAGAGACAAATCCATCACTTTTGATGTAATTTTAGAAGACTGGTTACATTTTTCTCCTTTTAATGTGCTGCAAAGAATAAAAGGCTTAGCATATTTTTGGAACAGAATTGAACATGGACATTTAGTTGTTGCATTATCATTTTTTTCTAAATATACACAAAATTCACTCCAACCTAGAGTGATAACTCTTCAGAGAGAGCAATAATAATATATACAACAGTTCTAATGGAAGTCGTTTAAAATGGTTGGGAATTGTTGTACGCCCATGTTAAGTGCAGCAAGCGCGTATAGTGTGTAATCGCAGGACGTTTATGTTTTACGTTTCACGCAGCAATTATTTTGCATAAAGTCTTTATGCTGTCAAAAACACGAAAGCCTGTCACTCAATCTGAGCGAGGGATGAGATGGAGGACAGGAGAGATATTAACAAGCTATCTGACACCATTTGCTCCTGTAATGGACAGAAAATGGATGTAGAATATCTGCTCATGATGGCACTTTGTTTGTGAAGTGCCACAGTTTTGAGAGCCTGCTTAGAAGTAGGGGACCAAACACAAACTCCTAATGGCATTAACATTCAAGACAGTTCTAACCAGCTCAGACAAACTACATTTTCTAAAGAGACATAAAAAATATATATATATAGCTAAATATTATATTATATTATATTATAACATTTTGTAATATGAAGATGACATTTAATAAATAATATTAATTAAAATATATTAATTATAAAAAATAAAAAAATTTAATAAGGATAAAATATTTATATAAATTCATATTTAAAATTTTATATTCATAAATATTATATTTTGTTATTATTAATATTATATTACATTAATATTTACTATATTATAGTATATCTTAAATTCTTTATTACATCTAATAAATAAATAGCAAAAATTACTTTTTCATTGTGCAAAGCATTTACTGTAACATACAGTGGAACATTACATGAAAGATGTTACAGAGTCATCCTATATTCGTCTTATATTCATAACAGCTTGTGTTTTACAGGTGCCAAGTTGTTCGCTGCCCTCTGTGTTTTGGTTAGCATGTGGTTCAGTGTTCATGGGATCCAAAAATGGCATCCGATTAAGCCCAAAATATGTATGTATTGCAAAACGTTCATATATAACATGAGTGTCTGGTCCCAAGGCTGTTGAAGGATGGATGTGTGAGAAGAAAGAGAGAAAAGAGGAAGAGAGAAAGAGAGAGTGGTTTGGACAGTTTGAGTGTGAGGGAGTGTTAGGGGCTACTGGGGCATGAAACGTAGGTACTTTCCTGTCGGTTGGAGCAGATGGTTAAGATACTGTAAATTCTGTTTAAGTTATATTGAAGTTAGCGCCTGGCAATTAAGAGCATGTAGGTTATATAGGTTATATAACATATAATGATGTAATGAAGTGCTGCTGTTCACAGTTATTACAGCAATAAATTACCTTTCGTTATACAGTTCCTCGGAAATGTTGGTTGATAATATCTAATTCATCTAAAAACCTGTCTGGATGAAGGAGAAAGAAAGCTGGCGTGTGTGTGTATTTCTGTGTGCGGGCATCTGTTAATAAAGTGATATGGAGATGGATGAGTCAGTGCGCTCTCAAACACATTCACATGCTTGTATGTGTCAGGAGCACTTCACTCCTCTCTTATTGCCATTGATTTCTACATTGTATCCAATCCTCTCACTCAGCCTGGGGAAAGCATTCACTTACCGAGAGACCCAGAGGTCGACAGAGCGGCAGAGAGAGAGAGAGAGAGAGAGAGAGAGAGAGAGAGAGGGGGGCGGGGACAAATGGGTTCTCAAGATGTGTGGGGAAAGATAAAACATTAGGATTTGTTTTTCACTAGGAATTGTCTTAATGAATTGATATCTTGGTACCAATCTCAATGAAATAATATTTTGCATCTAATCTAATGACATTCATGCATTTTAAAGTGTGATTTGTTGTGTATTCAAAAGCTTTTTGTGGGCCACTACACCAAAAGAGTTAGAAATGTCAAGCAATGTATTTATGATTAATTGTGCATGAACAACTACAGTAGATAAATGTAATGCAATATAGTATAATATAATATAACCCCATTTTGTATTAAATATATGATAATATGCATGTAATAAATAACAATAAAAACAACAATTATTGTTATTAATTAATACGGATTATTAATAATTAATCAAAGCAAATTATATTTTTTCAATGTATATTATATTATATTATATTAAAACTTTTTGTGACACTTATTCATCAAATTATGCATTAATAAATAAATATCATGCATTTTTAAGTGTGACTTTCAAACTTGTGGGGTCACTGTGTGCCTGCTCATTAAAATAAATCAAACAATCAATAAATAAATGATTCATATGTATGAAGTGACACTAAAGTAGTGTCACTAAATACATACATACTGTACATACAATGGCAATCATGCATTCTTAAACCACAATATTTCTTGAGTCGCGTTCCAAACGCCTTTAGAAAAATAACCCTAGTCCCAACTGTGTTTTTGAAGAAACTGTTTCTTATGAAAGAACCTTTTGTCCACTTTCAACACAGGCTGATACTGCGGGTCATTGTGTCCCTCAAGAGTATATGAGTTTCCAATTTGATATACTTTTTGATTTGGTCACCACATCCTCTAACACTCACTTAAAAGAACACAAAGATATCAAGGGCATTGAGAGATATAAAGTCAGTTTCTAAAGAGGAAAGAATCCTTCAAGGGTCTAACAAGGGACAAACTTGAGAGAAGGAGAATGAAGCTCTTCAACTATTTAAATATCTCTACTGTACGAAAAGTTCTCTTCCCAAAATGGGGAAGTGGGATTGTTGTTGGCCTAACTTTTCACTGTAGCCAAGTGCAGTATTCACTACATGCGAAACAAGCGCTAACCACACGGTTAGTATTTATAGCTTGGCCTAACGCCACTTCTTCAAACTGTTTTATTGTTTTCCTCGTATTAATACCACATGGCATCAATTTGCAAAGGGATGTTGGTTTATAGCTCTCCCTTGGTAGCTTTAGCGGTTAAATAGCCAAAAATAGCCTAAGTGAGAGAAGTATCTAACTGTGCTACTAGCTAATTTAGCGGCCTAAAATGTTTCAGAAGGGAGTTGTTAAAAAAAATATCGGTTTGAACGTGCTAGCATGGTGATGGCAAACAATCCAACACATCTGCTGCAGTATATATATCATATATCTACCTGGTCTAATGTATCTGAACTTAATGGATTTGTAAGGAATTTGGATGTTAACCAAACCAAACAGAGATTATCATGAGCCTGTGCAAACATTGTCTACTAGTGTCCACAAAGAGAAAGCAGGATCGATGAATAGTGCCACTGCCGCAACATCTGTGAGCTGTCAGCACAGAACGATGGGCTGATACTGTCCCACTGATATGAACATCATTGACAATAAATTAATGAGCAAATATACCCCCACACTGTGCGTATCACTTATTTATATCCCTCGCTGTCTGAGAAGAATCTCTTGCAATCACAGAGATCAATTCTTATTGAAATTTCATGAGGGCAGATCCAGGCCTCATCATATTTCACTATAATGACCTAGACGAGGGTATGTTGTGAGTAGATGGACAGTGTGGAAAGAGGAGACAGGGAAGCATGAGGTAAGTCCTCATTTAATTTGAGCATAGTAAAGTGGCGTGATGGGTAGTAGTTGGGTACGTAATTGCCTATTGCGCATACACTCACTCTACAGTCGAGCCAAACCCACACGAAATCCAATAGATTCATTCAATTCATTGATTCAATAGATCTTAAAAGGGATTTGTGAATGAATTGCTTTTTTGTCCGTTGAGTTGTTGCCTTACTTCCCATGTTAAAGAGACAGTTCGCCCTAAAATGAACATTTTGTCATTCATTACTCACCTTCGGAACACAAACAATTATGAACATAATTGTTCATCTTCGGAACACAAATTAAGGCCTTGTTTACATTAGTGCATTTTCATTTTAAAACCTTGTCTACATTGGCGTTTTCACTGCGTTTTAGAAACAATCTCAGTCTACACTACACAGCCGAAAACGCATGTCACATGACCATTTATGCAGGTACAACCATAGATATGTAGAGGTAGATACCCTATTATTTAGATTGCGGATGTGTCTGTGTGCTTGGAGCCGTCGAATGGGGAATCTACCTATACATATACAACTATGAGCATGATGTTATCGTTTACACGGTCATCAAGGATACGCAGAGCGAATGTGGGCAGCAACGCCATCGTTTTCAAAAGTCTCCGTTTTGCTTCATTTACACTGAAATGCAACCCCGGCGTTTTTAAACTAAAACAGGGTCTGCAGCATTTTCTAAAGTCTCCATTTTTGAGGGTCGAAAACGCCGGAGTAGTGTAAACGATAGGCGTAACTGTAGCAAAAGTTATGCGTTTTAAAACAGAAACGCACTAGTGTAAATGTAGCCTAAGATGTCTGTGGAGGGTCAGTAAGCTCTTGGATTTCTTAATTTGTGTTTTGAAGATGAACGAAGGACTTACAGGTTTGGAAAAAAAACAAGTAGGTGGGTAATTTTCATTTTTGGGTGAACTATCCCTTTAAGTTTTGTTTTTTAACATTCTTTTTTAAAACGTTCAAATAAAACTGAGTCTTTAAATAAAATGATAAATAATAATCGAATTGAACACATCAAATGAAGCAAATCTAATTAAAGAATCAAATATATAACAGAATAAATTTTATTGTAGAACCAGCGTTTGAATCAAATCAAAACAAAATCGAATTCAGCGTTATTGAGTCAAAGCGAATTAATCAGATCTATAATTGATTCTATTCTAAAAAACAATTTTTGAATCAAATTCAAACAAACTGAATCTAGCTAAATAAAAGCAAATTGAACATTATCGAATCAAAGTAAATTCATCAAATGCATAACAAAATCAATTCTATTCAAGAACCACCAGACCAGGCACTCTAGCAGCACTAACATGGTATATTTT